TCTGAGCCTGCTGCTGGCAACATAATGCAGATTCCTGCTCTTCCAGTGGAGAGGTGGCCCTTCCTCCCCCCGATTGGAATGGGACCCAGGCGTTCTAATGGCCAACTAGAGCGTGCTTTTCAGAGACAAGGCTAGGACCAGGAGTCCTGATTCTCATTTTCTTGCTTTAAACATCCTCACAGACATGAAAAGGAGACTTTCTACACCACTAAGCAAGGGGAAGGGGGGGGGGGGGAGTTCAACCAGCTTCGCCTCACACTGATATTTCAGTTTTCTCCAACTCTTTTTTCAGAACCCACCTGCCCCCTTAACTCTCACTACGAGCTCTGTGGAACCAGCTGCCCTACCACCTGCCACAGCACGTGGGCTCTGCATCGGTGTGAGGAGCCCTGTGCTGAAGGGTGTTTCTGTGATACTGGATTCACCCTGAGTGGAGACCAGTGCGTCCCCGTCGCGCAGTGCGGCTGTGTGCACCAGGACAGGTACTACCAGAAAGAAGAGGAATTCTACCCCAGCACCTCCTGCCGGGAGCGGTGCCTGTGCAAGGGCAACGGGGTCATCGAGTGCCGGGAGGCCTCCTGTGGAGTAAATGAGGAATGCGGTGTGAAGAACGGAGTCCTGGGCTGCCACACCGTAGGCTATGGAACATGCCTTGTGTCTGGCAGCAATCATTACACAGCCTTTGATGGATGGGCCCTTGACTTTCAGGGCTCCTGCACTTACACCTTAGCCAAGGTCTGCAGAAGTGACTCTGGGCTGGGGAACTTCTCCGTGGTGGTAGAGAATGAGGGTGCTGGTGGTGGCCATGTGGTTGTGATGAAGACAGTGGTGGTCTCTGTTCATGATTACACCATCACCATGGAGCGGGGAAGGAAGTGGAAGGTTCTGGTAAGTCCCGGTTTGAGATTAATTTTATATTGCACTAGTGCTTGTGTGTACGCATGTGTGTGCGTGTGTGTACCGAATCCCCACCACTGATGGGTGAATTTCCCTCTTCTTGGCACAGGTTGGCGGGGAGCTCTACACCCTCCCGCTGGCTACGAATGATGGGAAACTTTGGATCAACCAGGAGGGGAACAACATCATTCTCCAGTCTGCCGCTGGCCTCGGAGTCTTTTATGATGCTGCCACCTACCTCCGAGTGTCCATCCCCAGCACCTACAAGGGACATGTGTGTGGCCTGTGTGGAAATTTTAATGATGACAAGAATGACGACCTCCTGCTGCCTGGTGTGAAGAACACCCAGAATGTGGATGAATTTGTCTCCTCTTGGAAGGTGCCCATTGAGGGCGCCTTGTGTTCTGATGGCTGCGGTGAGAAGTGCCCCACGTGTGATGCGGCCCAGACAGCACCATACCAGGCGGAGAGCTCCTGTGGGCTGATCAAAGCTGCCTCAGGTCCCTTCAGAGACTGCCACTCACTGGTCAGCCCGGCCGAGTACTTCAGCCAGTGTCTTCACGACATGTGCACCACCAATGGGACGGGAGAAACCCTCTGCCAGAGCCTGCAGGCCTACGCGGCCGCCTGCCAAGCCGCTGGGGCCAGGATCAAGACCTGGAGAACGGCCTCCTTCTGCCGTGAGTCTACAGGACAATCCACAGTCTGTACTTCAGTAGCCATATTTGCTGTGGTTCTTGTGGTACCCACCCCCCAGTGCCTCTCCAGACTAAGTCGTGTCCTCTCTCTGTTTTGGTGGGAGAGCTCAGCTCAACCTGGCTTTCTGTCTGAGATGATTGTAACTTTCTTCTCTCTCTCCAGCCCTGGCCTGCCCGGCCAACAGCCACTATGAGCTGTGCACCAGGTCCTGTGATTTCACCTGCGCTAGCTTGTTCGCCCCTGTCCGCTGCACCGGGAAGTGCTTTGAAGGCTGCTTATGTGATCCAGAGTATGTGTCTGATGGGGGGGTGTGCGTCTCCATGGACAAGTGTGGCTGTGTGCACAATGGACGCTACATCAAGGTGGGTGCTGGGTAATTGATCCATTGGGCCTCTCTGGTGCTGCCCTTCTCCTCTGGCGGTAGGATTCCAGTGGGGGTTAGAATGATTGCAAAGCAGCATGTTCTGTGCGGTTGTACCGAAAACCGAGAAGCATTTCCTGCTGGCAAAGCCCCCCTGCGGCTTCGTCTGTGCTCAGGGCAGCGGTGCCTAGGAAATGTGAGTCCCATTGATTCTACTAGAGGGATGGCAGGGCTGGAACAACCAAAGCAGCAGCTGCCCCCAGAAGCTCCTTTCCCAGTGTTACATGGAGCCCGGAGCATCCTGTGGGGGAGCCAGGTGTCTGGGTTTCCTTGGCTCTGCGTGGTCGCCCCTGCAGTCTCGGTGGACTGATCTAGGGAACTCCCCAATCACCTGGTCTGTAACGTGACTCCCTTGGGGTCAGATCAGAGCCGTACACACATATCCAGGTACAGTACTGAGATGTAGTTTGTTTACAGGACATTTAAGTGACAGCTGGACCATGCAGGAATGAAACGGTATGGCAGGCTGGCGCCTGAGCAAATGTGCAGGGAATGGGACATGGGACGAGGTGTCTGACTCTGATCCAGGATTAGTTGGCTGAGGAGGATGGGGAAAGCAATATGGGGTCTTCCCCTCCTGGGGCCCAGCTCTGACATAGCCTTAGTTCAGTGGGTGGAGTATGAGGCCCTTCCCCTCTACTCTGGCTCCTGGGAAACAAGAACATTGACTGTGTGTAAAGAAAAGCTCTGGTAGGAAAATCTGCCTTGCACGTGAAAATCACCACTGCAGCTGACCCTTGGGCAGGGGCATTGTTGTGTGTGTGCGAGGGTGGGGGGGAAGTTAGTGAACCTCAGTCTGGAGGCCTGTCAATCCTGCACCTTGCTCTCTTTGTGGTCAACATTCCTGACTGCTTGTCTCCATTGGTCCTCCCACAGCTCTGTATACTGCTGCTTCCAGTCTCTCCTGCTGGGTGTGACTCCCTTTGC